ACCTTACAGTGTAAGTTAGTTTTTCCATCCGAGATGTCCTGTATTTTGTTAGTTTATTGTATGGCTTTCCTTGCTGCGGTTCAAACTTTTACTTTTTAATATTTGGTTGTAAACACTTTTCAGTAAATTACAGCCTATAAAGTCTGAAACACATAGACATCACTAGATGCTGGGTTTCATCCCTGGTGATGCTCTGACAGGCCTCTACTGCAACTGTTTTCAGCTCCTGCTTGTTCTTGTGGCGTTTTCCTTCAGTTTTGTCTTAAACAAGTGAAATTCATGCTCAGTTGGATTCAGGTCAGGTAATTGTCTTGGACATTGCATAACATTCTACTTCTATGCCGAACAATATGACCCTACAGTAAGTTTAGGATCATTGGACCTCATACAAGAACAGAATAGAAATGAACGATACGACTACTGAAAATAAAAAATATATAAGAATTGTGTAAGAATATAAAACTGTTTTATCAGACCACTTTGCATGTAAAAAAATTACCCTTTAATTTCTATAATTAGTTTCAGATAATTTGTACAGATAATGACTGAAAAGAAACTGAGTTTTTGAGCATGGTTCTGCTGTGGCTCTGACTCTGGTATCTGTCAATGGATTTAAATGTGAGTGATGCTCAGCTCAACCCTCGAGTCTGTCTTCTGTCAGAGTCGACAGATAAATCTAACAGAAAATACTCCTACAGCCAGCGAGGTTGTTCTCTCACTGGTGTCTAGTTCTCTGTGAAATAAAACAGAGTAGCCAGAAAAATTTCACATTTCAATGAGTTTATTGCACAGTTGTCTTGTATAGATTTACACTTGCATACCTGCTGTAATAAACATAATGTGGACATTCTGTACAGTTATTATCATTTAGGATTTTTTATCAGGTTTGTCCTCTAGTAATTACATTTTTGTATATTGTGATGTATATGTTTAGAAGCTTTACATAAATGTGTTGTTTACAGAAAATTATCTGTTTGAATAATTTCTGACATTATATTGATTGCCTTTATTGTCAWTGTACAGAGCACAATGAAATTACATTTAAGACCACCCATTCAAGTTGACACACACGACATAAACACGGAACAGGTGAACAGGTCATGCAGCAACCAGCAGGGGTCACATTACCTTTAAAAAGAAAAACGAAAATACCACACAAGGAAAGATGAGGAGAAAAAAACACATTATATCAACAAAATGTGACACACTATGGTGTAAACCTCTGCATAGAGCACATTTATTAGCTAGAGGAGTAGTGAGCTTAGAGGGCGTGTATCTGAAGCCATGAATGTTGTATGCACTTGTGTGAATATCTGAAGAATGAGTCYGAAAAATCCAAACCCCAAAATATAAAGTTCAGAATAATGTTGTTGTTCATTCTGTTGTGACTTGTTGTGCAGTATACACTGATTTGTCTTAACTAATAAAGCTGTAGAAAAGCAGTTATCCTATTAGATGTAAACTTTATCAGGATAACTTCATTGGCTTATTGCACTTTGTGGCTACTGGACTTCCACGAACTGGAAGTTGTGAGGACCAGTACTCCCTGTGTGGTTGTTCAGCACAGAGAGCAGTGGTGTTTTACACCCACTGCCTTCAGGAAGGCCTGAAAGTTACAATCAGCGATGTTCTCTGCTTGATTCAAGCCTTATCAGCTCCATGTTGTAAAAAAGAGAGAGGATTCAAATTTTACGTGTTAAATTACATTGACAACTATGAAGTTGAGCATATACTGCGGGTAAAATAAGTATTGAACACGTCACCATTTTTCTCAGTAAATATATTACTAGAGGTGTTAATG